ATGAATAATAACATGTGTACAAAAATATTAGGGCAACCTCACACGTGCGCTTGGATACACGTGTGCACACGTGAGTGTGCGTGGAGCACGCTCGCACGTGCGCTTGGACACACGTGTGCACGCGTGAGTGTACATGGGGCATGCTCGCATGTGCGCTTGGACACGCGTGTGCACGTGTGAGTGTGTGTGGGGCACGCTTGCACGTGCGCTCGGACACACGTGTGCACATGTGAGTGTGCGTGGGGCACGCTCGTACGTGCGCGTCATGCGTTACGTGTGTGAACCGGGACCACTTTTTTATGTGCAGCCTTCCTAAAAGACAACCATTTTTCCGCCATATCAAACCCCAAAGAGGAAACGATCTTATCCGCTTGAAAAAGAAGATTAGCCAAAGCAAAAATCACCTTTTCCTTACTCCAACAAATGGGTTGCAACAATTCACCGCCTTCCTTTTCTAAAACCGTCTTTACTGAGGCGGTATTTTTGCAGATAGTATCTGCAATCACAACATTAGAGGCAGGCGGCTCCTTCTCCAACACAAAATTAGCACTGTTGCTTAAACGTTCCACATCTTTGGTCCCTGAGCAATGACCATTCCAAGGCTCCCTACTTCCTTCCACATGTAGGAGCTCCTCAATCTTCTCTTCATTCAAAGAATCACGTCCCCTTATCATAAGCCTCAACAAATTGAGAATCCTCACTAGAATCCAAAAAATGTTTGCTACCATCCAAAATAGAGACCACCTTTTTCCCCTTATCGTGAATAGAAGTATATCCATATTTCCTACGGATGCCACCTCAAACTTCTTTTTCTTAAGCAGCCATACTTGCTTCTTGAAAAAAGGCAATTTCTTAGAAACACATGAGAGGATTGACTACCTTTCCATCCTCTACATGGTTGTCCCTGACCTTGCAAATCGGATATGCAATTTCGTCCGTTGAACTCATCATTCCGTACTTTCAATCACCGACCTTGCAAATCGGATATTCAATCCTCTTCTTATGCTCTTTAAACTCAAGGAAATTTCAATCACCATACGTTCACCTTTTCCTCTGATTTCTATCATCCAAATGTATTTTCCGGCGGTAGTTATATCTACTGGTCTTTTCTATGGCGACCCACTCGTTTTTCCGATTGTTAATGGTGGTTTCTATATTTGCCTGAGTTGGCGTCAAAAAGGAAGAGAAAGAAAGCTTTAGGAGTTTGGAGGAAAGGAAGCTTGAGCCAAAACCAGAGACATTCAACTTAGACAGGATCCTCCGGGTGACCACTAGGCCATAAATTGCCCCTTTGGTTTTCAAATATAGTAGTTTTTGGTGGGGCAAAGTGTAGTTTTCAAGATCCAATAGCATCAAACCCTGCAACTCATGAAAGCTACTCTTCCATTTTTAGTGAGAGAAATAAGCACCTGTAGTGAGAGAAACAAGAAAGCTAACTTTTCTTCCATCAAAACAGGACTCGTCAATTTTAGTGAGTGAAACAACAAGCCCAAAAATTGAAACATAAAAGAGAGATGAAAGAGAAACTGCTCCACGTCCATTTCAAGTGAGAGAAACAAGCAGCCCAAAGTGGAAACACAAAAAAGAGATGAGAGAGAAACTGCTCCACGCTCGTTCAATGCTTCAACCAATCTCAAGAAACCAAGTACGATGAACTCCACGCATGTTCAATGCTTCATCCAATCACAAGAAACCAACAACGATGAGCTCTCAACAAATGTAAAGCAGTAAAAATAGAATATTAATTTCCTCACCTTTACCATTTCACCTGGTTGAGTTTTACCATTTTACCAGAGACTTGGCACTACACGTTTTTTCGAGATTAAAGAAGATCAGACGGCATCAAAGTGGGGTCCTATGCAGTCCGCATGTGTGAAAGGCTCATAGGATCATTAATCTTATTTTTTTTACAAATTAGAAATCTCCATGTTAAAGATTATATATTCTTTAAAAATTAATATCAAATTATATTTCAAAAATAAATTATTAAGGGGCCCGCATTTCTACATGTGAGTCTATTGACTTGTACAAACTGTGTCCATAAGTAAAAGCTAAATTTGAAAACAATGTTGTTGAGCTAGTTGTTGGAAAAACCAAGTATATGAAAAATACCCTGTTTGGTACCATGAAGATAAAAATCAGGTGTTGATTGTTTGCTAGTTTAGCTGTTCATTTTATAAGTTGATGAATCCTTAATAATACATGGCCAATAAATTCTTTTTTTTTTGAGAATAAATTATCAATAATATAACAAATAAATTAGATGCTTCTAATCATATTTTTTAGTATTTTTATAGGTCAAATTATGCTTCTCTATAACTTACTCTCTGTATATAAAGATACATGACTAATGATAAGTCATTCTTATATTACATCATATCCATAACACTGCATCTCATTATATAATAAAGAAGTTAAAAATTACGAATGCATCAGACAGTTTGGGTAATATTTTCTTATCTTTTTCTAGGCCGAATTATGTTTCTCTTTCTTTTTTTCTATCGCTCCCCCTATACGTACACAACCTATAATAAGTTATTCTCAAATTGCATCATATCCATAACTCTGCATCTCTGTAGATAATGAAGAAGTTAAATACAAAGTCCCCAAGATGTCCAAAATTGCATTTTGCATAGGTTCTGATTTTAGTCTTCTGATTATAATGAAATTAAATTGTTCCATATACTGCACCATGCCATGCCCTTTGCAAAAACTTGATCCATGAGCTTCATAGGTGATAAAACAATGTTGAACTACTTCCCTTCAGCTTCATTAGCCTATGCAAATACAATTTATAAAGTTTCAATAGTTGTCCCAGTATGTGGGTTTTTTAAAAAAAAAATTACACCCATATTTTAAAATTACCTGAACATACTCATCCCAAGTGGGCCCCGTTGTTCTCCTAGTACTTTCATCAAATTGGAAACTAGGTTGATGAAAGAGTTGTTTAACAGTCCTATAAGTATAACTCAAACATTTAACTTTGTTTTTTAGCCTCTCTATGCAAAATTTGGGTCCATACTTCTCACATATGACATATGATATTTCTCTCCAATCCTTCTTCTACATGTTCGTAGCACCCATTTCTACCATGCTCTCAAACAAAGTTTTGTCATGTTCGGGATCCCATTTGACATACCTTATTTTTTTGCCATTTGGTAGAGTAACATGAACGACAACCATCCTGGTTTTTAAACAATATATACGAAATTTGTGGAGGCTATGAACATTTATTACCAATCGGCAAAATGAAAGAGTTAAAATAGGTAAAATAAAACTGTCTGAAAACAGAAGTTCATGAGAGCATTACAATAGATCAAAGTGTATATACATTGATACTAGGCAAAACAAAGGCATCTTCCATAGGGTCTAGTAAGAGGAATTCATGAGGCTAAAAAGCTAACAACACAATTTACATTATCCCAACCTTGACTTAACTAGAAAGATAACCATTAACATAACAATAATGGCCTTTGTGCCTCTCTTTCAGATAGAAGCCCCGTCCTCGATGTCCATATTAGTATTTTGTACCACCACATTAATATTAATGCAGGTATAAGTTGGGCGATCATCCCTTCGATATTATAGGAAGTGTTCCTCTGCTTCCTGCAATGTTCGACAATGGACAGCCTTGGAGAAACCATTCACTTGATGGTTACACACCTCCCAAGTTCTATAAATCCCAGGAACGCAACCCACAAACATTACATAATAACGTTGCCGCTACATTGTCTGATAGTTACCACAACTTTTTTTTAATTATTATTGCACTCTTAAATAATTTACTATAGTGCAAAGTAGAAAAATTTACTATAATGCTCCAGTCTCCTATATGTTCCTTGGGACATTTGTATCTGGTTACGACAATTGATATTTGTAGTATTAACAATGTCCTCATCTTTTGTCGTAGGTGATACCCTTATAGGAATCGGTCTAGTGATACTCTCCACTACCAGAACACAAGCTGTATAGGCACCTAGCAAGGCTACTTTGACTTTGTTGCTCTTCGTAAGATCATCTTCCATTGTATCCATGCTATCGTTTGTAAACATAATTAGGAATACATCCTAGATAGAAGAAGGCTCTAATACAAGGACACGGTCTGCCAAAATACTAGTCAACAACTCGCTTTTAATACCAGTTTTAGCAAGGCATAAACAGATATTAATAAAACATAATAATTCATTAACAACATGCTAATGGGCTGGTAAATGATGCTTATTTCCTCGAAATGCATAGCACTATATGAAGTAGATATTGACATATTTCTCAGATAGAAATCAATATAAAAAGAGAGATTCATCAGATAAGAGACGAGTTTATCACTACCTATGCAATGAAAATTAGATGAAGAAGAATACATGTATTTTAGACTGATCACATGCATTGATGCTTAATGCATGGTTGTGGGTCATGTGAAATCTTAAATAATACTTGTACGTTGTAACATTCATTTGACTCAAATGAAGATCAACAGTGCATTGCTACAATGTTTATTAATATATGCTTTGATGACTAGTACTTCGTAGGGGAAAGGCTGGTTAACTGCAATACCATGACGTTCTTGTGAATGAGCCGAAAATGGCACGAGGTTATTTTTAGATTGATTGGAATTTTACAGTACTACATAAAGTGTATTGCAGAAGCCAAGAATTTATGGAAACTAGAACCCCAGTTAATCATTCCACCATACTATCCTAGTAGAGAAATTTTTTACAGTTTTACTCAGCAACAATTATCTTGTAATGGCAATATCCATTTCTTGCTCAGAAGAACTACCATAAAGAGAAACAATATATAACAGTATCTTCTTCATTGCAAAAATATTAACAAACATAACACAAAAAATAGAGATTAATAAAAAAACTGCATAGTACCATATGAAGTAGAGATTGACATATTTCTCAGATAGAAATTAATAAAACAAGAGAGAGATTCATTTGATAAGATGCAATAAAAAGTAGCTTTAAAAATAAAAATAAAAATAAAATAACTTTCAATGGTAATTTCCATTTCTTTCCCAGAATAAATAGAAACAATCATAGACGTTACAACACAAAGTAGAAAAATTTGTGGGGTATAGAAACTACAACAAATTGACGCCAAGTCAAACCAAACTAGCAGCGAATCCATCAGACAAACCCCTGTTTCTTATTCAGTTGCTTCTATCCATATTTGCAAATAGAAATCAAAATCAGAATAACATCGAATCCACTGAGGATAGAGTTGCAAAGAACAACATCAAAAAGGAGAAAAACGTCCTAGAAATCAAACATAAAATGCCTAAATCCTTACCAACCAGTAGATGGAAAATTACATAAACAAGCCACAAAAACGATATCGATTTGTACTTGCCAATCTTCAAAAGTCACACAAATGAGTCTTCTTGATGGAGGTTTTTCTCTTTAAAAAAAATCCAGTAACAATGGAGTGGGAAATGCATGTTTCAGGCGGGGGGTGCAATAGCTTGGGGAAGAAATTAGGGCTGGAGAGAGAAAATGATGAGGCCCGAGTGGAACCCAATGGGCGGCGTCGATCACTAGGCCAAAGCTAGGCTTCTACAATTATCGGATTCGTTCCAGGTTTCTTTCGGAATATGCCTGCGCTCATTTTGGGTGCTTTTGAGGATTAGCCAAAACTAGTTTTGACGGGTCCAAATAGATTCAAACAACCCAACAGGGGTCAAAACTAGGTTATCTGAAACCAGGTTTTCCATATGATAGGTCCCAAACGACCCATAGGCTCGTAACTCCAGTAAGACCCCCAACAGGCAAAAAATAAATAAATAATAATAATAATAATAATAATAATGAATGGCTTTAAGATAAGATAAGATCTCGAACAAAATGCCCAAAATTGATAAAGGACCAACCTGAGTTCAACGCCTCCACCAGCTCAACATCAAGGGACCTCGCCACAATGTCGACATGACACTGGAGAACCCAATGTCAACGGCAAGACCGGCAACATCCAATGGACAGTGGTTCAAGTCACAAAATTGACACTCTTATAGTGTGGTTATAGAGGGTCATGATTACTTTTGATGCCCGAGGTAGCAGTGTTGGTGCCATTACCAGCAACATTATTTTTTCATTGGTGCAAATTGCCACCAATTACGTGACATTAAAATGTTCAAACTACGATAAAAAGTAATCATCATTTCCCAAGGGATGGGGGTACCACTATTGAACGTGGGCACCACTAACGTCTGTTTCTCATTAGCCAAAACCATTGCCCATCGTCAGACCTCAAGATGCCCACATTGTGGCAAAAAGTAACCATCTATGCTTGGATGGTGGAGGCAAAATGAGAAGAGGAGGAGGAGGAGAGAGAGGGACAATAGTTAGGGTTGTGATGGTAATGAGGAGGGTGAGATTTTTTGCAAGGATTTTGAAGGATTTTTCAATGATTTTGGACGAGCTTTGAGCATGTGTGTTTCCACTTGTATTTCATCCATCTCTCTCTCTAGAAATTGGTCATTCACAAACAAGCTTTTCTCTCGAAGGTCACAACCTTATATGAGGTTAGGGTTTCATGGTTACAGTTTCTAAGATGTGAGAGGGTAGGGACTGCTGCTGATTGGAAAAACCATGGATTGGAGGAATGTTTTGGTAGGGACTCCCACGATGGTGGAGTGAAAGGGGACGCTTTGAAGCTCTCATCGTCTTTGGTAGAGGTTGATCGTAAAGAGCTAGAACTTTTCGATGTTAAAACTGAGTTTTTGATATCAGGTTCATTTTCACCTCCTGCGAAGGATTTTTTTGACTTGGCTGATTGGGCTCAAAGAGAATGGAACATGTCTTACTGTCCTGATGTTAAGATAATTGGTTCCAACAAAGTCATCTTCAAATTACGCTCGAAGGAGGAAGTGTCCAAGGCGTTGTCTAATAGATTTTGTAAAGTTCGAGGTAGTCTTTTATCTCTAGAATTATGGAAGGTATCTGACCATTCTTTCGTCAAACGTATGGATCATGTTTGGATCAAAATGTGGGGTATACCTTTATCGACTTGGAACCTGTCCATTATGAAAAGGATCACATGACAATGTGGGGTCTATTTGGATGTAATTGGGATTCATTTCTTAGCTCAATATCTCATTTTGTTCATGTTAAGATTGGTTTATGTACTGGTATGATTATCCCTGGTTCGGTTGTTTTGTGTACTGCTGATGTTCTTTTTGAAATTTTCATCTTGGATGATGATGGTCTTCGTCCCTCCAAACTATTTTATGTGGAGAGGAGTAAGGCAGAGACAAAGTCCGTATCCGATAATCCTAAGTATGATGGTAAGCCTTCTGGTAGTGTTCACGATGCTTCTTTAGAAAATCCTGGTCGGAATTTTTCCCAAAAAAATTATAGGGATGCCAAGAATTTCAAATTCAAAAATAAAAAATACGTTACCTAAAAAATTAGGAAGCGGTGGATACCTACCCAAAAAATTAGGAAGCGGTGGACACCTACCCAAAAAATTAGGAAGCATTGGATACCTGTTGGACAGTTCCCGAAATCTTCGCAGGGTTTTTCTAAAATATTCTCGCAGATTGGGGTGGATAAGTGCACGTTGATTGGTTCTCATCTTGGCTCGAGAGTTCATGAGCCTATTACGGGCCCTTCTATAGTCTATCATGGTGAGCTGGTAGGACCACCTTTTGTGTGTTAGGATAAAGGTTTGGAAAAAGGAGAGATGGCGACGGTAGATCCCCCCATTTCGGAAGGTTGCTTGTTGGATAAAGATAGTAGGGTACACGTGTCTTTTCTTTCCCTTTCAATTTACAAGACAAATTGGTTCTCTCTCTCCTTCTTTTGGAAAGAGATTGAGTTGAAAAGGTTTGTGGGTGTTCACCTCTCTTCTTTGGTGCTTCTCTGTTGTCTTGTTATCTTGAAGGAACTTTCCTAGTGGGAGTTTAAACATAGGGTTTGGAGTGTTTTGGTTTCGTTAAAGCTTGGCATGTATCCACTATTCTTCCGGGTGGTTATGGCAAAGGGGGTGGAAAAGAAGTCCAGGTCTCGGGTTCGACCCACTTCTTATTGATCAGGAAGCTATTGTCTTGGTTGATGAGGAGTTGTAGGATAACCAGCCGGCTACTGCAATGCTTGAGGATGGAGCTTCAATGGAAGAAGTGTGTGATGGTGGTTCGATGGTTGTGGCTGAGTCAGACTCGCCATTACCGATTAGTATGATTCAAGATGCGTAGTCTTCTTTATTGATAACTGGCCTGCTTATTGAACAGGTTCAAAATGTAGGTGGTGATGGAGATGATACACTGATAGTGGGCCAGATGGTGCAAGATTTGGGCATGGATGAGGTGCTCCTTTGTGTGGTTATGGAGGAGATCAGTGTTCGATGCAGGGAGCATTTGGTGGCTCAGCGGGAGTAGGAGGTGCCCAATGATGTTTCGCAGCTTGAAGGTGGTGCTGATGATGGGGTGGCTACGAAATCACCTGCTCGAGCCCTGGGGTTTAGCAAAAAGAAGAAGAATATGGCTAAATGGGGTTCACACTCCTCTATTAGGCTCCAAGCTAGAGGGATCATCAAATCTACCCCTCGTAGCAAGGGTGTGGTTTCTTGTGAGCTAGAAATGGTACACCTTGACACATCCTCTGATTCTTCTCTGAGTGATGCGGATGAGGAAGTGGCTTTGTGCATGGAGGACTTGCACTTTGATTTTGGTCATAATGGACCAGGTTCTTCCTCTAACCCTTTCCCTCCTGAATTTTAATGAATTTTATTTCTTGGAATATAAAGGGGTTAGGCCACCCCAGTAGGAAGAAAGATGTTAGGTTTCTGGTTGTTAAGTACACACTTATGGTGTTGTTTTTGCAAGAAACTAAGCTCCCAAGCCCCAATGTTTCAAGGGTTCGGGAGATTTGCAGGTCAGGTGCAGTCGGTTTTAAGGGGATTGATGTTACTGGTGCTTCTGGAGGACTGTGGGTCCTTTGGGACCCCACAGTTCTTTCGAATTTTGAAGGTATTTTTAGAGACAATTTCCTGTTATTGGCTTTTTGTAGTTCCAACTGACTTCAATTGGGGTATTGTGAATGTTTATGGCACATCCATTTTGGCTTTGAAAGAAGTCTTTTTCTGTGAGTTAAATTTTGTTATTCGTTCATTCGGTTATCCTGTTGTGATTGGGGGGGATTTTAATCTCATTCGATGGTCGTGTGAATGTTTGTCTGGTACTTCTATTAATACCTATATGAGGTTATTCAATAAATTCATTGAGAGTAATTCTGTATTGGACCCTCCAATTGTGGGTGCGAAATTCACTTTGTCAAATGATAGTTTTACCAGACTGTCTATATCTCAAATTGACAAATTCCTTCTTTCAATGGAGTGGTTGGATTCTTTTCCTCTTGCTACAATAAGGGCTTTAACTAAGCTTTCTTCGGACCATTAGCCCATTATGCTCAATACTGGAATGGTAAAGGGTGGCCCAAAACCTTTTAGGTTTGAAGCAGGGTGGTTGGAGGAAAACAAGGTGCTGGAAATTATTAGAACCATGTGGGCCAACACGATTGTGGTAGGCTCCCTGGATTTTCAATTGCACAAAAAATCGGCTAATATCAAACATAAGTTGATTTTATGGAAGCGTGAGAATCAGTTTGATGTTAAGGCCAAAATTGATAAGGTTTTGGGAGATTTATAAGCGATTGATTGCTCTATTCAGGAGAGTGGTTGTATTTCCCAACAGGTTATCAGTGATCGTACTCCGAAATGTAATGAGTTAGGAGAGCTTCATAAAGTGGAAGAGATCTACTGGAGGCCAAGATCTAGATCCAAATGGCTTAAAGAGGGTGATTTGAATACAAAGTACTTCAATGCTATTGCTAGTGCTCGTAGAAGACATTATGAACTTTATGGCCTCTCCATTCCGAGGGTGGATTTTGAAAATGATAATGCATTGGAAGAGGCAGTGATTGGTCATTTCAGAAAGGCTTTTTCTTCAGAGGTTAAGGTAACACCTTTGTTGAATAGAGTTCCCTTTAAAGTTCTTTCTGTGGATGGGAAGTTACAGTTGGAAAGGGAGATTACCATGGAGGAGTTGCAGAAGGCTGTTTTTGCACTCCCTAGAGACAAGGCCCTTGACCCTAATGGTTTTCCGCTTTGTTTTTTCCACTGTTTTTGGAATATTGAAGGAGACTTATTGGTTTTCATGAAAAACTTTATGGCAACTGGGAAAATTTTTAAAAGGGATGAACTCCACTTTTTTGGCCTTGATCCCAAAAAAGGCTACAATTTCAGGCCTCTCTGTTATTAAATCGATCAGTCTTTAACTAGTCTTTATAAAATTATTGCAAAAGTCTTGGCTGAAAGACTAAAGGTTGTTCTCCCTTCTCTTATTTCATGTACTCAGTTTGCCTTTATTCAAGATTGACAAATCACAAATAGTATGTTGGTGGCGTAGGAATGTCTTCACTCTAGAGTTCTTAGTAAGAAGCCGGGTATTATGTTAAAACTGAATTTAGAGAGAGCATATAATTATGTTGAATGGGGTATTTTACTTGAAATCATAAGAGTGATGGGCTTTGGTGATAAGTGGTGATCTTGGATCAAGGGATGTGTCATCGGCGTACTTCTCTGTGTTATTTAAAAGAAGCCCTATAGGTTTTTTTAGTGCTTCTAAAGGATTGAGACAGAGTGATCCTTTGTCCCCTTTCTTGTTTACAATTTATGCTGAGTGCTTTAGTCTTATGCTAATCAGGATGGAAATTTGAGGTATTTTTTGGGGTTTTCGATTCCTAATTCTGAAATAGTTATTTCCCACTTTTAGTATGCGGATGATACTTTGATTGTTTGTGATGCGGAGGCTGCTCAGGGTTCTAATATTGCTTGAATTCTAGAGATCTGTGAAGTAACTTTGGTCCTTAAAGTTAACTTTCACAAATTGTCAATGGTTGGGATTAACTGTTTGGAAGGGGTGGCTGATGATTTGGCTACTTTGTTTGGCTGTAAGGTTGGCTCCTTCCCTATTTTATATTTGGGGTTCCCTATTTCTGACTGGAGGCTTACCATTGCTATGTGGGATATTGTGGTTGAAAGAGTACAAGGTAGATTGGCACTCTGGAAGCACAAATATTTGTCTTTAGGCAGTTAGGTTACCTTGTTGAGATCTTGCCTTGCTAACCTCCAAGTGTACCAAGTGTCTCTAATCCACATGCCTGCTTTTGTTGCTAAAAGATTAGAAAAAATGATGCGGGATTTCCTGTGGGGATCAACTGAAGTGAATATGGAGTTTCATTTATTAAAGTGGGAGAAAGTTTGTTCTCCAAAGACAGAAGGTGGTTTGGGCATAAGAAAAATAAAATTAGTGAATCAGGCTTTGCTGTGTAAGTGGTGGTGGTGGCATAGCCTTATTTTTAAAGATCAGCTGTGGTATAGAGTGCTTGCTTCAAAATATAGGGTTGAGAGAGAAAATATGTGGATTGGGGGTGGTAGAGGTTCTCAGACCTCACATATGTGGAAGGCTGTGTATAATTGTAGACCAATTGTGTCTAGTTATTTCAAATAGAGTGTGGGGGATGAAAGGAATGTCTCCATTTGCCATCACAAATGGCTAGGCGAGTATCCCTTAAAAGCGGCGTATCTCAACTTATTTAGGATTGCTACTCAACCTGATGTGACTATTTGGGAGGTCATTGACCATAGGGGAGAATTAACTTATTGGAATATTACATTTGCATACAACCGGGTGAGTAAGTTGATTCTTTCATAGTGGTGTGCCCTTATGGCATTGGTGAATGGGGTTTATGTCTCTTATAATGCTAAGGATGAGGTGATTTGAGAGATTGAACAGGATGATATTTTCACAGTAAAGTCCTACTACAGACTTGTCTTTCATGACCAATGGAGAGCCTCCTGCCCCTCGCTTTCTAAAGTCTGGAAGTGGCTGGTTCCTCATAAAGTTTAGGTCTTTATTTGATTGCTCGCTATGAATAAGGTTCTCACTACTGACAATCTTATCAAAAGGGGACCTAATGTTTATCTCCTCTGTAAAGCGGATGAGGAAACTAGTGCTCATCTGTTTATTTATTGCTCCTTCACAGTGAGAATTTGGTTTGGTTTTTTAACTCAGTCGAGGTTTCTATGGTACTCTCTTCGTGTGTAGCTGACATTGTTTCTCAACTTTCCATTCCTCATCTGCTTAAGATGGGGAAAATTATTTGGTAGATCACAAAGGGAATCATCTTCTGAGAAGTTTGGAAAGAGAGAAATAGGCGGACTTTTGACGGGAATTCTTTGCCTTTTTCTGTTTTATTAAACAATATCAAACTCTCTATTTGGAATTCAATTTCTATACACAAGGAAGGAAAGAATATTCGGCAAGGAAGATGTAATGGCTAATCTTGGTAGCCTTTTCCTGCTAGGGAGACCATGTACAAGGGTAAGAAGCCTTTGGATGGCGCCTCCTACTGATTGCCTAAAGTTAAATTTCGATGGAAGTTCATTGGGAAATTCAAGTGTTGCAGGTATTGGTGGGGTGGTGCGTGACTCTACTGCCAGTATCATTTTTTCCTTCGCTGGCCTGATTGGAGTTAGAATAGCCAACTATGCTGAGCTTAGTGCCTTGCTATGTGGGGTTAAAGTGCTAGTTGATAAATTTTCGGGTTGTTCTTGTATCTTTGAAGGGGACTCCTTAAATGTTGTTAAATGGTGTAAAAAGGAACAACGCTTACCCTGGGAACTTCATGGCCTTTGGCTGCAAGTCATGGATATAGTTGAAATAATCTCTGTTTCATTTGTCCATGTTTTTAGGGAAGCTAATGCTCTGGCGGATTCTTTGGCGAAAAGTGGGGCTCATTTATCTTCTCTTGTTGTTTCGAATGATGTAATATCTCTCCCTACTCAGCAATAAAATCTTTGAATCTTTGTCAAAAAAAAAAAAATGCTTGGATGATGGAGGCACCCTCACCAGCCATATCCTGACCAATTTTGAATGTGAAATGCCAATAGCAATGCGAACACTGCTAGTGGGGTTGTTGGCCATTTGACACACCACTATTCAAGATCATGTCTACCGTAAATCAAGAGGTTGTGAATTACACAACCCACAATCACACCAGATGAATGTCAATAGTGGCATCTCCATTTTAAAATGAATTAATGACAACAAAGCCGAACGTTGTTGGTGGCAGTATTGACGAGGTCATCAGTTGCATTCATGTTAATGGCCCAACTTAAATCTTTGACTTCCAACAGAATTTTAGAACAAAGTCGAAACTTTGCCGCGCTATAGCTGGATCCAGTATTAACCCTCGACCCATTTGACCTGGTAGGCCTAGACTCAGACCTAGCACACCTAAACGTAAATTCCGCACATAGTAACCTTCAAAGCCACATTTAGCCTTGATTGCCTCACCCAGCAGATCCTAGAAGCTTGGAGAAGGTCGACATGTTTATACTGATCCTAAACTGGCACTGGCTACAGGCGTCGGACCTAGGGGCACAGCTTAAGGTACGATCCTCTTTTAGTTTCTATTATTTCAGTTTCATCTATTTAAAAAATTCGTTTAGAAATTTCTCCCCTTCTTCTTGAAAAACCCTATCTTTATAATTTTTTGGCAAGTTTCCAGTGTCTATTGTCTTAAAAGCCCGTACTTTTGGTAGAGGCATTCTTGTGGCGAGTCTTCCATTCATATCACAATTCAACTGTACCCATTCTCTACCAATCCTCTCTTGATGAGTTTAGACCCAAAATGGAGGCGGAGCTTACAATTGCTTTGTCACCATTTTCAGGCGTATAAACACGAGGATATCTCAAATGGAGGGGATGCTTACTTTATGATAAAGTCAATGTCTTGGTAATGAGCACCAAGAAGATCTTAGAATTACAAGAAAAATTATTAAGCAGCTCTATGGCCTCTCATGAAACCCCTTAAGAGCTCCTTTATGAGGACCAATTGAACTTATTCCAATTCCTGATTGGGGGCAAAAGGGTCTACCCAAAATAAAGTTGTGGCCTATGATGAGACTTCTTCTATTAGTAAGAACATCCTCAATTCCTTTCATATTTGTGGATTTTGGATTATAGCAAATTGAACATAAAAATGGTATTCCTTTACGGAGATGGGCTCTAAACGATCAAATTAGAGCCCATCTCAAAAATTTCACTAGAAAATGTTGTCTTGATGCCCAAGTAGCCTCAAATTGATCATCTCGACATCAAGACGCGTAGACATGACAAAAAAATGGATTTCAAGTTTTAAAAATAGTACATCTTGTAATGCATTTTTGGACCATTAATTTTCAAGTATTCATAGATTTATTTAATTTACTCTATTTTTTAAGTTTTAAATTTTATAATTAAAGATAAAAATATATTAAGGCTATTACAAAGATTCCAGTATTGAAACCACACTTTTCGACACTTTGAAGGTGCGCTTTACTTTGATTGTTTAGAGCCTCAGCTCTATACAAACCACACCTTATATATATATATATATATATAT